GTTGGTAGAGGGTGTGATTGCTGTGTGAATTTGTCTTAACTGAATTACCAATACTAATCTGATCTTTATTACTGTTATCCTTTCTGATATTTTATTTTATTTTATTATTTTCAGTGCAAATAATTTTAGTAATGAGTCATGGAACTGATAAACATTTGGAAAAGCATTATTCTTACAATAATTTGAGACTACATCAGTGCTATGATATATCTGAAATAATATGTATATACACATTTCAGATTTTAAAATCGAAATATTTATTTCAAAATAAAAGATTTCCACACAGACACATGAATTTGGCCTGAACCTCAATACACAACCGCAAAACAGCCATTAATGTTTTTAAAATTGACTCAAATCTCAAACTTGGCAAATCATTTTCAACTTAATACATAATCATTATAAAATGTGATCCGGTGAAATGAGACAATGGGTCAACCACTCATAGTAATGCAAGATAATGAATGCACCTTTAACCAAAACATCAATTTTGACTTCTGAAATTAATATATATAAAGTGATTCTTCAAGAGAAAGTAAACCCCCACAAACCCTCATTTGTATGGCCAAATTAGCATCCTAACATACAAGTTAATACATTTTGTTTTTACATAAAGTGCAGTTTGATAACCAGAACAGCAGAAGCATTGATGAACTATGAGCAGGAAGTACTGTATTTACAACTGTATGTACAGTACATGCAAGTATGTGCATGCTTATTTTGCTTCTTCTTTCCTCTACACCACCATCCCCATTTATGAAATGTTTTATGTATTTTACAAAGCAAGTATTGTCTTACATTGTCATCAGTTGGATAAAGCAAAGCTGTCTATCAAAGTTTCATGGCAGATTTAGGTTCACAGACCAATATTAGGATGAATAAATCTGCATCTCTGATTGAGTGCAGAAATTAAGAGATAAATGAATAACTGACGCATAAAGCTGGTGCATTCAACCATCTTGTGACTGACTCAAAGGAACACAAAAGCACCACATTGTAACAATGAAATATCCAACATATGCAAAACACTGTGCACAGCAAAATACGACTATCCAAAAATACCACTTTGGAAATGTTTTTATTATCATTATAATAAACTTAAATTACCAAAGGAACAACACTGCCTTACATATTGCTGTTTTTGTAGGTTGTTTTCTGTCTTTCAACAGTAAAAGCAATATAAAGAGAGAGAGAGAGAGAGAGAGAGAGAATACAGACCGATAAGCAGGACATGTGCAGAAAGCTGTACAGACGGCTTGCTCAAATTACACAGGGTTCAAAGACCAACAGAGAACAGTTTACAGCACACAGTCCTTAAACATTTTCCTTTTTTTGGTATTAAATTGGTTTTCGCAACTAGAATCTCTCATACTCAATATAACGAACACTGAAATGATCTCCTAGATCCTTGAAAGTTCCTGACATAAATAAAGCAACAAAGTTCTTCAAACAGAAGCCACATTTGTTTTGTTTTGTTTCAGTTTGCTGCATCCTGTACAACAAAATACTCACATTCACCCTCAGTTATTATCTGACTGTGGCAACAGTAACCTTGAGATCTCACTGAAGTCCAGTCTTCTTTTCCATGGAATGTTTTTCAAGAAATATTGCAATGTGTATCTTTTCTTCAGTGTCTGATGCACACCACACTCCCCTTTTGCATCAAACATTCAATATCATTTTGCGTTCCCTGTTTATTCCATCACTGTAAAGAATGGCCTTTTATTTGATTGTAAGGTTGCTGACAAATGCATCTGTTCCCAAGTGCGGCAATAAAAGCCAACCAGTGTTTCAGGGAGAAGTGCTCCTATGGCTGATATATGATTCAGTTTAAACTGTACCCTGAAAAAAGGGCCAGACATAAAAGTACATATTAGAAAAGTAATAGTTTCTTTTATTATTATTTGAAAACCACAGTGTGCGCCAATACAAAAGCGATATTGCCATGTCAGGGTTAGAGGCAGAGCCTAATATGGCTAGAGTTTCCCTCATGCACACCGTTATATTGTGTTCTCTGTGCAA